ATCCTAACACTTTCAAATTATCTCCTGTTGAGAATCAAAAGGTCTCATCACCCTGATCCAATTTACTGTCCCTTAACCTTGATACAGATAAATAAGAGATTAAAGAAAGAAGAGAGAGTGTATGTGTGAGAGAGAGGGAGATACAGATAGAAAGTATAAACTGTTCACTGATAATTTCTCTATTTGTCACATAAATATTCAATTTCCATATACAATTTTTTTCGTACTAAATGTAGTTAATCAAGAAAAAACATTATTAAACATTTTTTGGTGATTCGTTAATAAACTCATAAAACATCGCCTTGGATAAAAGTTGTACGACAAATATTTGCTTATAGAAAAGAAGAGTTAATAAAGTTAAAAAAGGTAAGAAAAGTAGATTACCTGAAAATTAATTAAAATATTATTTTGTTTAATTCACTTGTTTTCGTGGTCCGCTTGACCAATTAATATCTTTCAATTAATTAAGTTTTTTAGTTGAGATAAAAATGGCAAAAAGGGGGGAAAATTCAAAAGGTGGGAATCAGATGGGAAGTAACTGTCCGAGTTGATCTAGGTCACGCAAGCACAAGTGGTAGAGCAGCGGCTTATCTAGCTGAAGGTCGTTGGTTCTAATCCCGCTCGTGCCATTGACTTTTTTATCTCAACTAAAAACCTTAATTAATTGTAATATATTAATTGGTCAAGCGGACAACGAAATTAGTGAATTTAATGAATTAAAATGAAGTATACTTCACTAAAGCTCTCCGTGACCATTTCATTTGTCGCCGAGAATCCAATCCGATTACACGACATTTGAAAAATGGCAAAAAGGAGGGAAAACTCAAAAGGTGGGAAGTTGGTGTCCGAGTGGATCGAAGTCACGATAGCTCAAGTGGTGTAGAGCAGCGGCTTATGTAGCTGAAGGTCGTGGGTTCCAATCCCCCTCGTGACAGTGACTTTTTTATCTCAACTAAAAACCTTAATTAATTATTTTGTTTGTTAACTTATGGAATTACTCCAAGAATGTAATGGATAGTTGAAAAACATTTTTTCAATGTGGTACACATATGAAAAAAATAAACTCACCACCATTAAATTTAAATTTATGTAGGTTTATCCATATTTTGCATACCAAAAATAGGTTTGGTGAAAATAACACATCTAAAAAGAAAATGTTTATTACATAATTAAATAAACCAATTACGAGAATAATTTATAGAGAAAAGAAAAAAAATCAAATACAAATAAAACTGCGAAGAAATTTTTTTTCTCCTTTAATATCGCATATTTCGACCTTTGGCACCGAATCAGATCCGTTAAACACCTTCGCTTTCTTTGAAAAAAGATAAAATCCTGAGTAATTCTTTCCAATTCATCAAAAGCAGTTGTTTTCAACTCTTCTAGGGTGTTAGGACCTGGTTTTCGCCGTCGTACTCGTCGTTTAAGTTGGTCCCAAATGTGTTCGATTGGGTCCAAATCTGGACTTCGATCTAGCCAAACCAAGCGTCAACTACATCCTCGTTCTGGTAGTCATCCACAATGTATGATTTTTTATACGGATATGTTCGTAATCCTTTAAGTTCTTATGTATGAGATTTAAATTTAATCAACTTTGATACGAAAGCACTGCAAATCAATGACTGGACAGCTTATCCTTTATGTGAAGTGGTATTTTCAATAACCCTTAATCCTCTTATAGTGATGTCCCTTTATTTAATAGCTTGTTTTGATTTTCCATTTAATTGGCCGGCACAGGCTTATTATTAGTATTTTCAGTAAGTTCGGACTATGACGGGAATTTAATTGAAAAACAAGCAAAAGTTCAAAAATCAAAGCCAAGTTTTGCAGCAAAGTCGCGATAGCTCAAGTGTTAGAGCAACGGCGTATTTAGCCGAAGGTCGTGGGTTCGAATCCCGCTTGTGACACTGACTTTTTTATCTCAACCAATACTTTACGTAAAGATTAATTAATTATAGGTATTATAGAAAAATACTGTTTGTTTATTTTAGCATAAAAATAAATTGAACTGTTAAACAGATAAAACATGTTCATGCCAATTATTAATTCTTCTTCTACTAATTCTGGAAAATCTTTTATGAAACAATGCTTTTTATGTCCAAAAAGATATATATTCTTTTTCGAGTAAAATTCAGTCCCATAAAATATTCCATAAATCAGTCAAAATACAAAATCAATTTAAAAAATTACATACCTATTATAATTTAGACAAATGCATTATACTTGCCAATATGAATACACTTTTTTAATCCTTAATAATGACTCAAAATTAAATCGTACTTAAACGGCAAGACGTCTAACTTTACACGCCATTAACCACATTATAAGCAGCAGCTTATACGTAATCATCAATCAGTCATAGTCAAACTTTTAGATGAAGTAGGCTGGTGTTATTCGATGCCTCTATTACCACACCTTTCGGCCATTATCATCAAAAATGCACCAAAATGACATTTTTACTCCCTTTCGTTCTCAATGTTTCATCACAATATATAAAGCGAAAGAAATGTTGAGTAGAAAGACAACATTATCTTCAGGAATTGTCTTCCTTTTTTTAAAGAGGGGCGGTTGTTTGTATGGAAGAACAAGCAGATTGAATCATCCATTTTGAAATTTAACGCTGTTCTAAAATATCTTTGGGCACAAAGCGAGAAACCCAACGATTTGTATAAAATAAAAATAAAAAGAAGAAAAAACAACGATGGAAATGTAAAAGTCTTCGGCGTTTAATAATTCGCCCAAATACTTTATCGGACGCAGTCTTTAACAACACTATTGTAAAGCAACAATGGCATTGTAAAAGCTGTCAAAATGATGCACTTCTAAGTAAAAGCCAAAGTAAATTAAGTTTTAAAAGTTTTATATATATATATATATATATAAAGCCAAAGACAGCAGCGTTAATTTTTACATATGTGGTTTAACTTTAATTGGAGCTTTTTCATTCAGTACTGGAAAAGTTATAAATTTAATTATAAACATAATCCATAATATTTATTTAGTGGTCTATTGAGAAAATTACTGCTTTCAATTACTAAATTTTTTTATGTAAAGTTTTGGTCGAAATGAAAAATTAGTGTCACGAGCGGGATTCGAACCCACGATCTTCGGCTTACGCCGCTGCTCTACCACTTGAGCTATCGTGACCTCGATCCACTCGGATCCAATAAAGCTTTCCGTGGCCATTTCATTTGTCACCGAAAATCAAATAGATTACATGACATTTGAAAAATAGCAAAAAGAAGGGAAAATTCATAAGTAGTAGAGCAGCGGCGTATCAAGCCGAAGATCGTGGGTTCGAATCCTGCCCGTGACACGGACTTTTATATCTCAACTAAAAATCTTAATTGATAGAAAGATATTAATTGATCAAGCGGACCACGAAAACTAGTGAATTTAATTAGTTCTAATAACTCACCTCTTCGATGCTACGTGTTTCCTAAGCTACATTCCAAATTGCTGGAAATTCCCGAAAATAATATATTTAAAAAAAATCCAAGCAAGCCACATGAACTTCCACGACTTACAGACCTATTAGTCTATTCAGATCTTTGACTAAGGTCTTCGAACAGAGAGCATCTAAAGGGTTTGACATTCATTTACATATTCCACGTATTGTAAAGTAAAAACAATTCGCCTTCCATTTTGGGTTTAGCATAGTAGGTAAACTTGCTACAGTAGTAGACTTTGTAATTGAAAGTTTTAACATTAAAAATTAAACGGGGCTTGTTCTCCTTGATAGGGAGAACTTCGACAGCGTACGGCATGACAGAATTATTTAAAGAAAGGTTGAGTATAATTTTCCAAAGCATGTAATTAAGATTGTGCACCCTTACTTGAAATCAAGGTAAGGTTGTATCACCATTCGTAAATCACTTTGTTCTCATTTCACTATTAAAGCCGGCTTCCCTCAAGGATCAATTCAGGGCCACACACTTTTTTGCACTTTTCTAATTGCTCTGCCTAAACCAAAATATTGCCATCTGAATAAATGATATTGTGCTTTACTGTCCCCGTCGGCAAAAATCTTAATACGGAGCTCGAAAACGTTGAACGTTTTTGCACTTAGAAACTAAAAATTAATATAATCAAAGCAAGTTCCTGTTCAGCAAACGTAGATCCTTCCTCGTCCCGTATTATTTCACTCGAGCTCATTAAGGTCAAATATGTACGTACATATTACATTCGATACCGAATTAAATTTTGGGATACACATAAACAACATTGGAAGTATGTAACGTGGTCATTTTAACGTATGGGAGCCCCACAAATCAGATTTTCCCCAGGACAGCTAACTCGAAACAAGCTTATTAAACATTATACACCTGAACTTTAATCTAGTCTAACTCGTATAAGTTGTGAAATTGGCTGACATAATAAAATTTATTTATTTACGTATTCAAATGTATGTTTAATTATCTATCTCAAATATATTTTTACCAATTTAGGTGATTTTTGTATACTTTTTCTCCATCTTATATAGTAAATAATTGTTCAGCATGTAATTATTTGAATTGGATTGTAATAGGAAGTTTCACTGCATGTCATTTTTTCTACACTATTTTGTAAAGTGTAACCACGTAATCATGTAAACAAACATCATTCATTCATACTGAATGCTCAATATACTTCCTCTTTTACCAAGTACTTCCCTTCATAATTTTATTGAATTGGATAATAGATTTTTTCTAAATTAGCCGATAAATATTGTAAGTTCATACCTACGAAATGTTCTATCAACACTTTTTTGTTTGCTAGAAACCTCATCTATATACAATTACAGGAAAAATTTAATGTTTGTTTAAAAATGTTTAAAAGCAGCCATTTTCTCCAATACACGCCAATTTAAATTAATAAACTTCCAAAATATTTTTGTTGACGTTTCGTACTTAGAAAATAGAAATTTTTTTAGCAAAAAATTCAAAATAGGGAAAAGATTTTGTCTCTGAGTTTTTTTCTGGTTTACAGGCCGCTTTGAGCCTTCGAAACATTCTACTTACATTTCCGTTCGATTCCGTTTTCGCTTTGCTCTCGTCGACTGGTTTTGTCCGGGGGCGGTGCGGTGTCGACCGTGTTTCGCTCTAGACTGAACCGCCCCCGATTCAGAGCGATTCGACTGCCCTCTGCGCCACCCCCTGAACTCACCTCCCTTCCTTCGAAATAAATAAATTATTTTATTTTTTTATAATCCGTTAGAAATAGATATTCGGAATTCGGGTTTTTTTTAGACGAATATTTGAACACGGCCAATAAACTACTATTCGTATTTGTAAAATTTTGCTGATATTTGCGTTATTAGTGCTATACCTGACAATTTTCGTTATAACATTTTGAGAATATTAGTTAATTTTAAATTGTTGTTTTTTAAATACAATGGGATTCGAACCCACGACCAACGGCTCAATACATCACTGCTCTACTTCATTTGAAGCCACGATAGTTGAAGTAGTTAGAGTAGCGAATCCCGCTCGTGACTAAATTTTTCATCTCAACTAAGACCTTAGCTAAAAAAAAATTAATTCATATAATTAAAACGGTCAATTATGACCGCTAAACATATATGGATTAATTTAAATAGAACATTTATTTTCCATTTCATGATCTAGGTAGCAAATATTAAACATTATCAAAAATTTTCGATGTATGCAGAGATAAACTGTTTCTCTTTGTTGGGTTTGGAGCGTAAAAACGTCGTGATATAAAAATGTTCATAAAATGAAATATAAACTAACAATAATAGCAATTTCTTATTTTTTTAATTTCACTTGTTTTTATTACCATTTGTACAAACTACATACATTATGTAACAAGCACTATTTTTGTGGTCCACTTGACAAATTAATATTCAATTAATTAAGGTTTTTTAGTTGAGATAAAAAGTCAATGTCACGAGCGGGATTCGAATCCACGACCTTCGGCTAGATACGCCGCTGCTCTACCACTTGAGCTATCGTGACTTCGATCCACTCGGACACTAACTTACTTATAGATTTCACGACATGTTGAAAAATGGCAAAAAGTAGGGAAAATTCAAAAGGTGCGGTTCAAGTGGTAGAGCAGCGGCGTATCTAACAGGTCGTGGGTTCGAATCCCGCTCGTGACACTGACTTTTTATATCAACAAAAAACCTTAATTAATTGAAAGATATTATGAAATAAAATTTACTATTTTTCTCGTTTGACATTTTTATAATAACATGCAGGGTGCCAGCAACCATTGTTGCTCTCTCCCAGCTTTTTTCAAAAATTAATTATTAATGAATAGAGATCCCGAGGACAAATCCACTATAGGCTTTGGCGGGGTTCTAAGAGTGGGCTATGTTTGATATGGATCTGGCTAATGGGTTGGAATATAAGGATAAGTTTTTGAGGAATGAGGAAAATTTATTGGAGATTTTCAATTAAGGATATTGGGAAGTCTTTAAATATGGTGATGCTGGAGATGTAATAGGGGATATTGACTATGGCCCTAAGAAATTTGGTTTGAAAAGAGTGTATTCTTTCATGGTTCGAGGTTCAGCGGTGACCCATAGTTTTAATCTGATCTTATGATTTTAATTTCAGCAATGTCTTGTACTGTATTAGTATATACGTTCGCATCGATTCTTGTTATTTGGTCGATAACTTCGACTACTATTGTATTTTAGATCTTGTGCATCGATTCCAAGTTGTAGTGGAACCAAACTAGCCTATTCAGACAGCTTTAGGGAAAGGAGCATTATTGAAGAATATTATACGATTATACGAGAGGTTTTTGAGGATAAAAGTAGCATGAGTGCATATGCTTTAATATATATTAATAAGCAAGAGTCCATCGGCCACCCTTAATATTCGTATTATTTAATCTGGAACGTTTCTTTCCAAAAGGTAGGAGGTCAAAAGTTCAACATGTTGCTTTGGGAATATTTTTTTTAATTTTATGTATTAAATCTTCCTGCTAAACCTTGTCAAATGCTGGCGATACGTCTCGGAATAAATCTGAAAATATATTTCTATATCGAATTATCTATATTTCAGTGGTTCTATGTGAATTGCCTGAATTTGCCTCAAGACTTGAAATATAATTTAACAGGTGAACAATTACAGTAATTTTTTTTCCAAAGTGTGGAAACTTTCGTTATAAAATATAATTTTCTGTAGAACAGTGTTAACAATTAATGTAAAACGACATATACAGAATGTTGCAAGTTGAAGTGAAAAGTTAATTTTCCTTTTGTGGACAACTTTAACAGACTTAGAAATTTATTGAAGATGGAAGGAACGAAACCCGCCTTTTCAATTCGATTTATATCCACTTAATAAGAAAATTTAGAAACTAATCTGGTATAAAGTTTTAGGTTAATTTTTACTCTAAAATTTTAACTTTTGACATATTCTTACGATTGCTAATTATGTGATAATCAAATTTTTTCCAATGGTGGGAAGTTTTTTTCACCAACTCCATTGAATAAGTATAATAATAATGTAATATTTTTTTACTGAAACGTTGGTCTCCATGTACGCTTGAAATATATTTTTCATCATTCATTTTGAAACACATTATTCATTTTAAAAATGAATAGGGTAAAAGTATTTATATATTAATACATACATATTGCAGTTGATATATAAACATTGGAAGAAAATATAGAATAGAATAGAATAGAATATTTTATTGTATTTTAGCATTATATATATGCCTATACAAGGGATGCACATTTTGTTTTCTCACATATTTTTACATAATTACAAAACTTTATCCATGTCAAAAATAACTACAGTAGAGTACCATATGTACAGTGCAACACAATTAACAATATACATAATTTTTAATTTAAAAAATAATTAATTATTATTATTTATTTATTATAATCATACAATTATATATTGATATAGATACTTAACAATAACATAGAACATATTATGGACATATAAAGAACCTTTGGCAGACTGCATCATTCATCTAACACAAACGCTCTCAACTTCAATGTACCCAATATAAAATAAAATAAATCATTTATTTTTTCTTTATCCCAGCTTCCATTTAGTAACCATATTAATTTTTCGTCACTATTGTACAGTTGTGGTGCATTCTTTAAATAATTCTGTAAATATTTTTTTCTTAACGACGAATATATTGGGCACTCCCATATTATTTGTGCCAAAGTTTCGTTGACCTTGAACGAACAATGCAGATTGTACATAATTGTGTGCAGTCAATGGAGTATGTAATGCCATTATAAAACAGTCTAATTTCTGCGGTACCCGATAGCCTTAGTTGCACTATAATTCTCTGCTTGGCCATGGAAACATTTTGAAATAAATAATTTTCGCATAAATAAAGAGAAGAAATTCGCCTGAAGAAGGGGTTGAAGCCGGAGCCAATGCATCGGTCGATGTTAATTGAATAGAGATTACTCTCCCAACGCTCTATAATGTCCCTTTTGTGCTTCGCCACCACACTTACATCACGAAAAAAAGGGAAGGTTCGTAATTCAAACGAGCCAATATTCCATGTAAATGAACAAGCCAGTTATCATTACAATATTCTTTACGGGGTGATGAGAAGTTTGTTGCGAACAAAACAGATTCAAACGATCTCTTCAGAAGGGATTTTTTATCTGAAGGTAACACTTTACTTAGCCAGTTTATGACCCTAATCAAAATTTTGGTGCTAGTAGATTCAAGACCAAACTCAATTTTTATATAATGATCAGGCGTGTTGCGGGGGAGATGGAACAGCTGTTTATAATACCTGATTTGTAATTTGTCCAAACCCTCCAACTGCGCCACCGCCCAAAGTTCAGCGGCATAGTAGGCAGATGCAGCGACAACTGAGTCAAATAGCTTTCTTTTTGTCGCTAGCGAGTTTGATTTACTTTTAATAAGAATTTCTTTGATCTTTCCAAGAGCTCGCATACCTTTATTAAGTGCGTTATTCCTTGCCAAATTGAATTTACCTGTACAGCTAAGAGATATGCCCAAGTAAGTGAACGAGTTTACATACAGCAAAGGCTGCGACTCAAAATATAAAGTTCTTAACTTCTTGCAAATGAATTGGAAAAAAATATATTTTTATTAAACATTGTTCCAAAATAAAATAGAAGATTAAGGTAAGTTCACATTCAGCAGCCTACATGTTTCCCATGACCTACATAATCTACGTACATAGCTCCCCAAAGAGATCTAATGAGCCTACGTACACGATATGTATCGTGATTTGCAATGGCTGTATCTATCGCAGGCAATGCTTTCTTCTCTCAATCTTTAAAAAAATAATTTCTTCTTATTCCCCTTCCTATATTTATAATCTGTCAACATTTGTCTTCTATACACACTCGCCACACTCTTTCCTGCTCTTCTGATCTCTAGCTCTTTCATACAAATCCACAGCTTTTAGCCGAACTTGCCTTCCCCGTTTCTACTTCCGGAATTCCCTACCTAACTCCAATCGCTGTGTCACAACTCGTTTCACATTTAATTCCAGTCTTTTTGACCTCCTCCTTTTCCTATAATTTAACACCGAGGATGGTTCATTTTCATCTAATTTCCCCCTCTTTATTTAAAAGAGTACGTTTCGTGTATTTTTCATTGCTATTACTTTTTATTTATTTTTTTAACGAGAGTATTTCAACTACGAGGTTATATGACCCTCGGGGTGCCAATGTTTTTGAAAAAAAGCCCGTTTGTACGTTTGTCGGGTTCGAAAGCAGGGCCGTTGGATTCGAACCCGGGACCTTTACCTTACAGTGGTGAGCGCCTAAACCATTGCGGCCACCGACGCCCCCACTATTAAATTTAAATATTTACATTTTTCTTCGATTTGACACCACCAAATTTTGTACTTTTTCTATTTTAGAGAGTTTGGTCAACAAATTCTTGCAGCGTTAGGGCTGAGTCGGTTTTCAAGGAAATTTGATATCGACTGTAAAAAACTTAAATATGTCAATCTGTAGACATATTTAAGATTGTTTTGCCCTGATGATGACCGTCTAATAGGTCGGAAGCATGACAGTAACCACAGATTTTTTTTTCGAGACCACCCTGTGATTTAGAGTGTTAATGTATGATTAATAAAATTATTTGGATTTTTCCAGACAAGC